ACTTGCCGTACGAAGCTGCCTGCCGAGGGTGGCTCGCTGCTGGCCCATCACGTGCTCCGCCGCCCCGCCCATTGCCACAGGGAGGCCCGCGTCGGGCGGTAAGGGTTCGGAGCTCTCTGGAATGCCGCCCCTGGCAATGTGCCGCCCCAAGCACGTGCTTGGTTTGCTGGTGCCTAGAGCTGGCACTCGGGGGCCACTGTCCTACCCCACGTCAGCAACACTGCAGCTCCTGTTGCCTGTCGTTATCACTGCAGCCCTCACCCATCAATGTCACTGCAGCTCCCTTACACTGCGCCAGTGTCACTGCAGCCCCCCCCCACCCATCACTGCAACTCCCACCTCAGACACTGCAGCCCCCTCCCCGTGCGACTCGCACAGCTCCCGCCACCGCCTCCTTCAGCCTCCTCCCCCCCGCCGCGGCTGGTCTCGCGCGCTCTCCCGGGCGCCAGGGCGGGAAGCCGAGCTGGGCTCCGATTGGCTGCGTGAGCCTCGGGAGGGGGGCGGGGCGAGCGCGAGCGCCGCCTAACGGGTTAGAACGCGGGGTGGAGAGGGCGGGAGAGTGTGAATTGACCCCTCCCCCCGCCCTCAGAGCCCTGCCGCCTGCTGGGAGACCCGCCCCCCCCGTCTGACTCTGCCCTGCCCGGGCGGGGTGCTCGGGGCAGGCGCCCCCTCCCTGCGCAGGCCTGGGCTCTGCTGCTGAGGGGCCCCTCGTTGACCCTGGGGGGCTGGTGCACCTGCCGCCCACTCCCCAGGGCGCACAGCAGCGGGGGAAGGGCGGCTCTTGGCGCACACGCGTGTTCCCACAGCACGAGAGTTATCAGAGGAAATGGGGAGCCCTGCCCTTCCCGGTGCTCGCTTGCTGCACCCCTAGGGCGAGCAGCTGCTGGAGGCTGGGCCTTAAGAGCAAACTGCAGCGCTGGGCAATAGCAGCCCCATCTCCCAGCTTTTCCCGAAGAAACAGCAAACTGACCAAGTACACTGGCAGGCACACACAATTACACAGCTGGTTAACAATTCACACCTCTCATCATCGCTCCAGGGATTGGCCTGGGTCACAGGGGGGTTGCCCCAGTCCCTGCACTAACCTAGGAAGTGGGTCTGGCCCACGAAAGCTCATCATCTAATAAACCATCTTGTTAGTCTTTAAAGTGCTACATTGTCCTGCATTTTGCTTCAGCTACACCAGACTAACACGGCTACATTTCTATCACTAACCTAGGCAGGCACTACTGTGGGGGGCAATTACCTTGGGGGCTTCCTGGAAGCAGCAACTTATTCCTCAGCTCCTAGACGTAGGAGTGGACAGGCAGCTCTGCAAAGCGAGTGCTGCTTCCGCACACCCCTGCCTCCGCAGCTCCCACTGGTCACAGTTCCTGGCCAGCAGAACCAGTGAACAGGTTGGGGGCATCGTGCAGTTCTGACTGCCCCTGCACCTCAGAGCCTGGAAAACGTCGCTACTTCTCGGAGCTGTCGGGAGCCTGCTGGCCCCACCAAACTAGACTTTTAATGGCCCAGTCAGCAATCAGAACCAGAGTTGCCTGGGTCCCTTTTTAACCAGGTGTTTCAGTAAAAAAAAGGACAGCTGCCAACTCTAGGTTGAGGTCAGACCTTATGGCCTAAGTCCCCTGTAAATTGTGTGGCTGCGTGGCCACACAAGCAACCTATTAAAAACTGTCTTGGACCTGCCATGGTCCAAAACCAGCACCAGACCTTCTGTGGCTAGAGGACAGGCTAGGGATGTTAAATATTGGTTAATTGAATATTCAATTAACCTCATGAATTCTTATCAGTTACTTGACTATTGTATAGTCCCTGGGGGCGAGGCCAGGAGCCAGTGAGCTCTGGCATCTCTCCCAAGTAGCCCCCTGCCATTCCATGTTGTTGTCTCTGTATCAGAGGCAGCAGGATGGGGTGCCGGGTGAGAACTGTTCCACGAAGGGAGCCACTTTTAAAAAACAGCTACCCTCATGGACCGGCTGCCTGTCGCCCCACACTGCTGCCTCCGACAAACCAGAACTGAGCCAGGTTGCCTGGCTCCTAATACACTTTAAATGCAGAGCCGCAGCGGGGGTAGGTCCTGGGCCCAGCGGGAGCCAGGACTGAGCTAAGCCGGTGGCCAGCCTACCAAAAAATTTACTGGCCGGGGGCAGGGCGGGGGGTAAGGGGGGGGCAGGTGCAGAAATGTTTATAGTCTATAGCATTAACTTACAAGCTTTTGCTAATCGGTTAATCAACTACACTATTACATCCCTAGGACAGGCACCCTTCCCTCAGCTTGAACCTAGGCCCAGGGGAAAGGTGCCCTCTTCATGCCCAACCAGGTCAAAATCTCAAGAGGCAAGATGCAGATAACAATATAGGGAAGGATGAATAAAATGTTTAAACATTTATGGGTTTGACATATTTTACTAATTCCACTTTTATTTTTATTTTTTAACTTTTTGCAAATATTTCACTGTGGGAGCAGCAGCATTTTAATCTCTTTATTCCAATAACATTTTAGATTTTTTTTTTACTCTAAATCCATAAGTCTTGCATCAGGATCAGGATGCTGTAAGCATGATACTTTCTCAATAAATTTTATGGACTTGTGTACCTGGAAATAAAATTTGAGTACATAGTGTGGATGCTACAAAAGAAAATCTTTTATTGAAAGAATTAATAATTTCTCTACTTTCTAGCCAGGAGGATCGGCACACTGATATTTGTAAAATGCTTTCTTTTCTAACCAAAATTTATCCTTTTCCTCTCTTTTTTTCACCGAGCTAATTAACACCATTTCTTTGATCGGGAAAAGTTTATTAAAACAAATTGGAGAGTACTGATCTCTCTCTTTTCTCTTTGTAGACTGTGACATGGGTATCTGAACAGTCTTTAATGGGTAGAAATTCTTCAATCAGAGCTAGCACTAGAAATTCACATGCAAAAGAGGTTGGTAAATGTGGGTGTTGCCTAAACTACAGGGTTTTTTTACAAAAAAAAAGTAGCCTTTTTTCGAAAAAATCTTCACCTGCGTCTAGACTGCTGCTGCATTCTTTTGAAATTAAATAGAAGGAATGCAGCAGTTTTTCAACTGCGGAAAACTTCATTTTACAAGGAATAACGCCTTTTTTCAGAAGTGCTCTTTCAAAAAAGGTGTTATTGAACGCAAACAGTGCTTTTTCGAAAGAGAGCATCCAGACTGCCTGGGTGCTCTCTTTTGAAAAAGTGGCTCTCTTTTTCAAAAATACTGGTTTCTGTCTAGACGCTCTTTCCAGAGGTTTTTTTTAAAGAATCTTTCTAAAAAGCCTCTTTCAAAAGAGATTTGTAGTTTAGACATAGCCTGTATGTTGACAGTATGTCTGTCTTAACTCCCTGTTGGCATAGCCTCTATGTTGCCTATGTGCAGAAGTGATAAGAAAATAAAAAGTTCAAACTGTGTAGACAGCTCTTTCACTCTCCACTCCCCAATATAAGAGCTGATTGTGGTTTTAAAGGAGTACTTCATGCTTTGCAGAATGATCTCTTTGTGTTTGTGTGTGTGTGTGTGTGCATTTATATGTGCATGTGCACACACACCACTCCTGAAAAACTGTGTGTGTGTATTTATATGTGCGTGTGCACACACACCACTCCTGAAAAACTGGGAATTTGGATGAGTCATGCATCCTTTCGGAAGGCCTTTATACAACAAACAAAAAGATATTGTATGACTGTAGATTTTCAAGTCAGCCAGCACAACTGAGACTGAAGAATTTGTGAGATAAG